TGAGCCACCGCGCCCGTCTACTGAACTCACCTAAAAATAACTAGTTTTAGGTTCCCTCCCCAAGATACTATGGACAAACAAGGATATTTCATGTACTAATTAATCTTAAAGACATCATAGTTAATATTTTTATGTCTGACTTTAAGCCACAAAAAAAATTTAGTTAAGGCACCACTAGGTAATCATACTCTGCATAAATAGATTTATATTTTTATTAATAATATAAAAGAATTCAGATTTTGGCAGATGACAGAGTAACAGAAGTCAGACATTCTTGGAGAAGAGTGATTTTTTTTTTCCAACAGGCTTGTTGGTTACCCATGGAGGTGCTTCAGCAGCCACAGGGAAGCTGAGCGGACGTTAAGAGGGGCAGAGGCCCAGACTCTCTCCCCCTGTTTCAGTGGAGGAGATCCACTTTTAACTCTCTTCTATGCAGAAAGGTTCTAATCCCTTAAAAAGGTTTGGCATCCAATGCTATAAAGAGACCACTGTAATTTCTAGAATTCTCAAAACTTTAGAACATTACTAGAAGTGCTAACGGCATACCTGCGATATCTTGCCCAAGGTAAGAGCACCAATGGTTTCTCATGACCTCGATGGCATCCAGGTCATCCTTGGAAATGTCATTATTAATGATAAGGTGAATGCAGGGGATGATCAGCTCATTCATCACATTAATACCTTCTGTTACACAATGATCATCATTTGTCTCAAAGAGAGAAGCTGCTTTGGCATTCAGCTCCTACAGATAAAAGGCAGAGTAGGGGGAAGAATAGTCTGAAAAAGACAAATATCTATTTAATAACAGTCTAAACAAGTGGTTCCCAAACTTTACTGCACATAGAAAGCACCTAGGGATCTTTAAAAACTACCAATGCCTACCTCCCACTCCTGACACACTGGTTCAATCAGTATGCAGGCAACCTGGGCACTGGGATTTTATAAAAGCTCCCAAAGTGATTCTGATGCAGCAAAAGTTTGGGACCTACTGACTGACCTAAGCTTATAAGTCAAGGTCATGCTTAATGCCTGTTTCTACTAAAGACCTATTCTATGGTTCTCAATCTCCAATGAGCATCAGAATCACCTGTGTAAGACACACTGATGCCCAGGCCCCTCGCAGAGATTCTGGTTTAACAGTCTAGGGAGGGGCTTAAACATCACTGCTGTGTGAAAGCTCCCTAGGTGATTCCGATGCACACTGGGGGTGGGGACCCAGTGATGGAAAGAGTCTAAATCCCTATTACTGCATTACTGTAGAAGCTGAGAAGGATATTCAAAATGTCAATCTATTCAGTGATTTAAAATATAAAAGCATGGCTCTAATAAAATTCAGATCCATCAAATCTACATGGCCCCCTTTTCAGCTTCAAAGTGGCCCTGCCACACCTATAACTAATACAGAAATCAAAGTGTAAATCAGAAAATGAAGCTCTTGAGATGAATATATTAATATGTCATGATTTAATCTTGCCCATTTGGTATGAGCAAGACCAAAGCAGTGGCAGAAATGCTGGCCTGACTTCTGTGAAGGGCAAATGTGCTGGGTTTCAGGGAAAACAAACACAGCACACAGTGCAAAGGCAAGCCACTTCTCTACAGTTCTCTGAAGGACAAACACCATATAAACCCTTGGGTAGGCAAGGGGATATAGATCTGCCTCTCCACGGCTGCTAAATGCAAATTAGGCCAGGATAGCTTTAGTCTTCACTAGTACGTGACAATGATGTTATGAGAACAGCAGGAACAATTCTTACAGTTCACATCTTTTTTAAAAAACTGGAGTCTCTCAGAAGTCACCTAAACTTTCACCTGCTAGCTTAGCAGGGAGCACAGAAAATAGTGCATTTAGTCAATCCACATTTATTACATGGTTACTATGGGCCAGGCAAAGGAAATGGCTGAATAGGAAAACGATGTGTGGTCAAGGAACTCACAATCTAGAGGGAAGGAATGAGATAAAAGTTATCATGTAGGCATACATGAAGGGCACACAGAGAGAGATGAACGATTCTCATCTTAACTTCTATCAGGGAGTGAAGAATGATATTCACTTAAAATAACTGAAAAGAATCGGTTCCAATGTAAAACTGATTATCAGAGTTTAGAAAAAAATTCTAAAACCTGTTGGAGATAATTATTTTGTTTTTAAAGTTGTATCTCTTCATGGCTTCAAGGAAGAGAGGTAAGCACACACACACAACACACAAATCTTAAGGCCTTACAAACAGTACAAACCAGAAGGCATTTTCTTCGGTATAAAGCAATCACCGATTCCTTGACCCCACGGCGGGGCCCCTTCATCAGCAGAGCGGCATTGCTCTGGTAGGCATACACCAGGTAGGAAAGGGCCTCTTGGTACCTTAGAAAAAGGGGACATAAACAACAGCTGGGTGCTCTTTACCCAAAACCTAGGGCTTAGACCTCACTTTTCCCCAATATAAGAATCGACTTGGCTGCAATTATGTGAAAGTCTTAAAGATTAAGAGTTGGCAAGGGGAAAACCTGAGGATCAAAAACCAATGCCAGTCTTAGCTTTTCGATGACATGGCCAAGCCACCCAAGGCAAATCTGGAAACTTCCCTGGGCCTCAGTTTTTCCCATCTCTAAACAAAAAGTGAACTAGATGCTCACTAAGATCCAAGCCAACTCGAAAATTCGCTGAGTTCATCTTCATTTATCACAGAGAAAGTCTGGCACAGCATATCTCTACTGATATGCGGAGGATGAAAAGCGATGAGTGATATTGAGAGCAAAACTGAAGCACTGGAAAGAGAAGAGGCACACTAGTGTATGTGGCAAGGAGGTCACGCACAGTTAGGACTCTTAGTATTCCTAGGCATCAATAAATAAGTGTCCTCACCCCATAATCTTGGTGAAATAAAAGGCCAACATACTTTCCTTTCTGATAGAGTTCCAGGCCTGTTAGGAGATACACAGACACCTTTCGGAACAAACTATAATCTTCATGCCACTTCTGAAAAGGAATGACTATCATTAATGACTATGCTCATAACAAACTATTGCTGCACTTTCCACCCAGTTTTAAATTTAATACAAGTATTTATTGAGCACATCTGGCCAATCACAAAAACAAACACAAAAGCTTTCAGAAAAAAAAACCCATTCAATATTTAAAATAAAAGTCTACCACTGATCTTAATTTCAATGTTCTGTTCCTTTCACTGAGGAACAGAAATGTTTACTTTACATGAGCTTTAGAATTTATTATCTTAATTTCCAACAGCAATGTCAAAGTCATTCAGCTCTGGCTTAAATGAATGACCTCTCGAGTACTGATAAAACCGTCCATAAATGGGAAAGATGGAAGGACAAAGCTCTTCCAAGTCACACAGAACACTCAAGCCCAGTAAATGTGTACACCTTAGGTAGTACATAACACTGTTTTACATAAAATCTAATTTTTTAAAAAATTGGTAATTATGTACGTATTTTAATGCATATTTTAAAAACTGTATCATTTAAAACAAATCAAATCATGATTTCAAGAATTATATGATGTAGGACAAGGCTAAAGTAGGTAGTTAAGGGAAATGAAGTGTTGATGCATTCAACAGAAGAATGAAAATAAAGAGAGCTGCTATTCTGAGAGTCAGAAAGATCATTTATCCATTCTTTCCCAGGTTTTTTTGGGGGTTTGGGGGCGGGGAGGTGGGAGAACAAGTCAGTCTGTGTGTGACAGCACAAAATTGTTAATTTGGCCTCAGGTACTGTTTGCCTCAGGAATTAGTTTTAGCTTTGAAGATTTCAAGAAAAGACTTCACCTTGTATTCTTCCATATTCATGTCATCTGGACCAATTTCCTTCAGTTTAGCTTGAGCCACCTTCATAATGCTGATTGATCTGTGCGGGACAAAGGTCAGAAAGCAATGGAAGGGTACAGGCAAAACTTCTCCATTAGACAACTTAGTCTAGCCAGACCCAGGGTGATTCACCTGAGTATTCCCCTCTCACCTTTCATCATAGCTAAGATTTTTATCTGCAAACTGTTCCAGAAGGGTCCGTTCTACTACCCTTTTAGGTGCTTCATTTTGGAAAAAGTAGACAAGGACATGCTGAAGTCGAGGATCGCTGTGAGAGGTGGGCGTCTCTTTGGCAAGCTGATAGAGCCTGGAGTATTCTTCGTGGAATGCCTATTGAAGGCAGAATCAGTGGTTAGAAAAGAGTGCATTGTGGGCTTCTGCACACAGAAATTGATGCCTAAGGGCTAGATGGTCTCGTAACTCCAAGACGACTTCTAAAAAATTCTTGCTGAGGAACTACAAAGGCCAGCTTACAGGAATCTGTAAGTTGTCTGCATTTCATAAGGGATAAAAATCCTCTAGCATTCTGGCACCAAAAACATATTGTACTCATAAGAAACTCATTTTTCTCAAGAAGTTTCCAGAAAAACAATTTTTTTTTTTTTTTGAGACAGAGTCTCACTCTGTTGCTGGAGTAGAGTGCCGTGGCGTCAGCCTAGCTCACAGCA